CGTTAGGACGGCGGTTAATTGAGTGAAGCCGAGACGCCAGGAGAGGATAATTATATTAAAGATTCTTAGGAATCTCTAAATATATAGCAGGAGCACCGTGCTATATATGTCTGCAATATTTAAAGCCAATGAGCAATGGTAGACTTATAAATATGTAAAATTCTAAAGATTCTACAAAAAAAAATCTAGCCCGAATCTGGCGTTAGATTTCAGCAAACTTGGCTTCTTGTGCCTACAGAAAGAGCACATCGACGCGTTGTCTCTCGATGGTGCAGTTGCTGACTGGGGCGTCCACAGGTCTGACCTCGATGCTCCCTGCAAATCAACTGAATGACGGAGTGTTGCGTGCGGCTATCTACCCGTCCTCCCATGCGCACGAATCGAGGGTCAGTGTTTCCCTGGTGACTTTACTGCGTATTTTTTTTTTTCAAAATTTCCTTTGCGTTCTGATTTACCATCGTATTAATAATATCAACTCCGTCTCTAGAAAATGATGGTGTTATATTTCATAGTGACTTCTTCATATAATGACCAGAGAGTTTCACAAAACATTTCAAAGAATATAAATTCTATGCAATTGATATGAGTATACCGTTCGATAAAAGCATATTCGTGAAGTAATATCATATTCACCCCAAATATATGAATCTTGAAGTAGATATTTTTTATAATGTAACATTTAAAATTGTTTTACTGTAACGATGCTGAGTAGACATTTCTGGTAAATAACGCATAATCTCGTTTTCCTTTTGCAATAATGCTCACCCTATACAAGGCCCAAGAGCCACTCGAGGTAGGTTACAGATTAAGAGACACTACCTTCAACAAGGTGATAATACCATCAAGATGCAAGGTGCCACCGGAAGTGGACAAGAAAGAAAAGATTTAGAAAAACATTTAATCAAATACTAATCAAGAAGCAAGGGATAAACTTTTACATCTGTTTTGATCGATGCCAATCAAATTCTCTGATAAAGAAGGTATAATCTGTCGAGAGCGACACTTACATTCATTTATACTTATTTTTTTGTTTTTGTCTTATTGTGATTTGCGATGTTATCGTTCTTCGTCTACAAATGCTTAGATGTTAATATAACATAATTATATAAATACATATCTTCTATGTTTTCGCTGTCATCTATAACGGTCAATACCTGTATCAAAGATAAAACTGATATAAGGAGACAAAAAAATATCTGTTCCTGCAAATGGGATAGATCTAAAAAAAAAAAAAAAAATAAAAGAGCAAATAGATAAAAAAAAATAAATAATAAACGCCAAGAAACTAATTTGGCTTTAGAATTAAGACTCAGGTGAAAATAAAGATGAATAAAAATCTAGAGGAAAATAAAAAATAAATGGGAAATAAAATAAAAATCCCAGTTGAACAAATATATGCTTGATCAATAGCAGAGGTTTATGTTTCAGAAAATCAAATCTCGCGTGAGTTTACACAGTGGAACTCGAAGTCTCGCGAGCAACGCAGGTCAACAAACGTCGTAGAAGTTTCCCGAGAGTACATCAGTGGAATCCTGTAGACAGACAGGATGCGTATTTATATCACGGGAGATGTCTACTTGGAGAGAAGACTAATCATTATGATATAAGTTGACGAACAATTGTAAACCTATTCGTAAAGGTGAGAAAAACATACAATAAATTAGCAGGTAAGGTTATAAGAAGTGTAATAGATGGCCAATGATTCTTAGATGATCCAAACGATAGAATGTTGGGAAAAACTCAGACGGTTCACATGCTGAAAGGATATATATATATATATATATATATATATATATATATATATATATATATATATATATACTCTGGCTAATTTTATATTTTAATACAAAATTGTTGTATTCATCTCAAAAGTAAATTACTAACTGTGGCGTTAAAAAGGCTATGAACAGTACGATTTAATTGTCACGTCATGACATGAAATGTCCAAATGTTTTGATATTTTGGGTTTTTTTTTAAGAAAAATGATGAACACAATAATTTTTGTCTTAGACAAAACAACAGCCCGATGATGCTAGTGTGCTAATGTCAAAAGTACCCGTAATAAATGAATATGTATCAACATAGTAATTAACTCTTCTTTAATAAGGATACTAAGAAGCTTGTCCGAGAACATGAGAGGATCGTATTGAAAATAAGTAGACAAAATTGTCTAAATTATTCTATGAGACATGTGTTAATGAAAACATCCCGCCAAAATATACGCAATGCACACACACACACACACACACACACACACATATATATATATATATATATATATATATATATATATATATATATATATATATATATAATTTAAGAAATATAGTTTCAAGGTATGTTATATTTATAGGATAAAATGCTCAATCATCAGGCCACAAGTGTTGTTTTTTTCTCGATATGTGGCCTGATGATTGTGTTTAGCATGAAACAGTCTGTCGCCCCTGCGTGTTGATTTCCGTGTTCATATATATATATATATATATATATATATAGATTTTGTATATTGGAATGGATGATTTGTTCAAAGTTCATGTATTTCTTTATCAAGAAATGGGGGTACTCAGCATACTGAACAAGGTTTCATTTACCATGCTACCATTTTTAGATGTATTTTTTAAATGTATATATCGAATATTCATACGTCTTCTTACTTTCAGTGGGTAGTAAGTATATCATAGTCATATTCAGTTTTTACGCACATTCTATCACCTGTGGAGAATGGTATTTTAACATATTTGGTAATATTACTCTTGTCATACAATGACCTAAGAAGAAAGCGAAATGGAGTACTTCGGACAAATTTTTTTACAGAAAATGAAGCAACGCAAAACAAATATTTATCAACAACAAGTTCTAATACTATGATGCTGATAAAGAAATAACATTAGCTTTAAAGAAATTTAGAAAAACATAATATAAGCAACAAATTTGATCGCCTAAATGTCGTCAGTTGAGTGTCATGAAATTTTTTTTCAGTAAACGGAATAACACAAGAATTAACCAAAAATAATTATCTAAATATATAGACAAAACAAAATCAATGAAAAGAAATAGATTAGCATCTGACAGTACTCGAGAAAAAAATAAAATATAAATAAATATGAATTTTGGTAAATTTACCTATAATATAAAACAAATTTAGAAATTTGAAAATAATTAGTAAAATTATCTGAAATATATATATGTGTGTGTTTTGATCAGTAAAAAGTATCAAAAAATTAACAAATTAAAATTTTCAGACACACTGGGTTGTATATTAATTTTTTTTTTTCGTTTTATTATTTCAATTAGATTCCACGACGAGTTTCAGCCAGCATGGCCATCATCAGGATAAAAAAAAATTCTGCTTGTTAGTGGCAGTGAACTGCAGGAATAAATCACTTGATGGAAAAAATGAACTTTATCTTTAGTTTTCATAGTAGTTTTTGGCAGTTATATATATATATATATATATATATATATATATATATATATATATATATATATATATACATATGATTAAAATATAGTTTTATGGTATGTTAAAAGTGTTCAATTTCAGGGATAGAGCATGTAAAGTGTTTTCCTGAAGATTTTTCGAGAGAGAGAAAGAGAGATAGAGAGAGAGAGAGAGAGTGGGAGAGATAAGCTTAAAGTATATTCGCCATTATAATAATGAAATACAGGCTCTGAAATTTTCTCTAAATTTACCAATTCTTTGATAAAAAAAGACGACAAATGATGGAGGCGCTCCAACTTCAGCATAACAATTACATTTCAGCAGAAGCTGCAGCTTGTTTCTACTGTGTCGGAAGCCTCGCCGAGGCTATGATGTCATCCTATGATGACGTAATATCCGGTTTGAAATTACTCTCTTCAGTTTGAACGAATGCAGATGAGAATTACACATGTGCATTTATGGATGTCGCTGCTGATTTCGTAGTCCTGTTACACCCAATATAGAAGTTTAAGATCGATAGATAGATAGATAGATAGATAGATAGATAGATAGATAGTCCATTTCATATATATCTATCTATCTATCTATCTATCTATCTCAGTCTCTTAATATCAATCTCATTCTCTTCATACCTATATATCTATTTATCCATCTCAGTCCCTTCATATCTATCTATCTATATATCTATCTTTCTATCTATCTCTGTCTTTTTATATCTATCTATATATCTATCTATCTATCTATTATTATAAGAGATTAAAATAAAAAAATATTCAAGGTCTTAATATATATATATATATATATATATATATGTGTGTGTGTGTGTGTGTGTGTGTGTGTGTGTGTGTGTGTGTGTGTGTGTGTGTACGAAGGTATGTATGTGAAGAGGCTGATCTATACATTACAATGAATGAAATCGATATAGTGTGATTGACAAGCATCGGAATTTGACAGAAAAACAAAGGAAGAAAAAAATTCTTACGAGAACCAAAAACGAAAACAAATCCAAAATGGTAAAATCAGAGCGAATAATAAATCATGGCAAACGGAATGCTGGTTAGAAAAATCTCTCATCGATTCTTGCCTCACGAGCGTCACTGCTAAAGCCTACTACAAAAGGACCAAACTGATAATCAGAATGTGAGACGGTTGGAGGAAAAGAGTGACAGAAGGAGTAAAGAACCTGTAAGACTGTAGATTTTTAATGGTGAACAGTTGGCAGACGCCGGGCACGTGTTGCGGGGCTGAGTCTGAAAAATACATTAAGCGTCGTTCGATAGGGGAAGGTTAAGAATATTTGCGATCAGTTAAACCTCAGCATGATAAAGATACTGTTGAGTAAAATCGGGTGAGTAAGCTTTGGCACATGGGATCGAATGTGAAGCACCCAATGAGGATCGACGTTACTCCGGCTGATTCAATAAGTCTATTTACACGAGGGTACGGGGGGAAGCCAAGAGTATTCACGTATTTGGGCTTAGGGAAGGCAAAAGGTGTTGGACGAGAAACAAGAAAGAGTGTTTACAACATAAGGGGAGAAAATGTAAACTATAGCTAGCTAGCCAGATAGATAGATACATAAATACATATGAACAGACATCGATAGATAGAGAGATAGATACATGCATACATACATATAAATGAACAGACACAGATAGATAGAAAGATTTATACACACATATGAACGGACATAAAACAGATAGATAGATAGATAGATAGATAGATAGATAGATAGATATGAAACCACTGAGATAGATAGATAGATAGATATTAAAAGACTGAGATAGATAGATAGATAGATAGATATGAAACCACTGAGATAGATAGATAGATAGATATTAAAAGACTGAGATAGATAGATAGATAGATAGATATGAAACCACTGAGATAGATAGATAGATAGATCGATAGATATGAAAAGACTGAGATAGATAGATAGATAGATAGATAGATAGATAGATAGATATGAAAATACTGAGATAGATAGATATGAAAATACTGAGATAGAAAGATAGATGCATATGGACAGACTGAGTTATATATATATATATATATATATATATATATATATATATATATATATATATATATATATATGTACATAAATGCATGCATACATACATATGAACAGACGTAGATAGATATATACATTCGTGCATTCATATATACATCCATACGAAGAGACATAGATATGAACAGCCTGATATAGTTAGATAGGAAGATAGATAGATAGATAGATAGATGGATGGAAATGAACAGACTGAGATTAATATGAACAGGCTTAGATAAAGAATTTTATACATTTTCCCAAAAATGAAGCGAATTCTTTAAATATATAAAGAAGATCAAAGAAAATTAAAATTCCTTAGAAATGTCAGAAATTATGTTAATCTTTAACTTTAATGCAAATATATACGTTCGAATTTGTATATGTATCTCTATATATATATGCGTATTCATACACTTACATATTCCTTGAGGAGGTATAAATGTAAAGATAGGAAAAAGCAAGACGACAAACAAAAGAGAAATATGGAACAATTATTTCTCTTGTGAAAGGAAGGAAAGAAAGAAGGAATGACGTTAACTTTACTTCCTTTTCCAAATCTCAAGCGATTCTTACTATATTAGCCCACATCCGGAACTCGTTAATTTCCGACCGGTGGCACTTGATCCCAAAATCTTTCACTCATTTATTTCATGTATTTACTTACTTTTGGACAGCGGTTGTTTGCTTTCAATATCTCATATCTAGATCTTAATATCAGCGCAGTCAGCAAGCTTCATCCCAAATAAAAACTATGTATTGCTCACTTTACTATATGGATGAGTTTAACACGGCCGTGTTCCATTGTCTCATACTAAAGGGTGTTTCATTAAGATGGATCAAAGTAAATAAATCAGTGTTATTTGAGCACATTTATTTATTTCTCTGTTGGTTCATGTTATTTAAGTCATGGTAACTATGTGTGAAAAATAATATCGCCCAAATGTCCGCCAAGGCTTCGGTGGCACACTTCCACTCGATGGTCGACATTTTTGATGACGTCTTTACATAGTTGCTTCTCGATGTCACCAATATACCTTATTATCTCATTCTTCAGCTGTTGAAATGTTGTTGACTTGTTGGTATAGACCTTACTTTTGAGATAACCCCAAATTCAGAAATCTAAAGGCGTCAAGTCGCACGATCGTGGTGTCCAATTGACTTCTCTGTTTCGAGAGATGATGCGACCTGGGAACTTCTCATTGCATTTCTAATTGAACGTCCATTTTCGTAATAGGCTTCGATGACTTTAACACATTGTTTGATTGTTAATCTTTAGATGGTCGAAACTACTAAAGACTTAAGTTGTTAAATCTGAAAGAAAAAGAAAAAAAATCGTTAGACGCTTAAACTTAATTCACATTTAAAATCGGTCCAAGTTATTGGGACACACTTAGTATTTAAGCAAATTTAAACTCTGTAGATGTGGCTATTAAAGTGGAGTTAGATGAACGATTAACCTCTTGGAAAAATAAATCGGCGTGTCGAGATCAAATTCTGGACGTATTTGTTTCGTTCGGTTTCGCACAAATACCTCGTAGGAAAACTATGAATATATAGTTTTCTCCCATCAGCTATAGGTTAAATAGCAGGATACTTTCTACCTTCCATCAGCGTTGCTAAGGCTAAACTTCAAGAGGGTGACGCGTTGCAACTTCAGGGACTAACGTTTTCTGCTGACATGAAGTAGAAAGAGTATATTGAATCACTTGCTAAGCCTGCACCAAGGAATATAGTTTCGCTGTATCGTGCGAGACGGTTTTTCACATCTATCTTATATATTTATAAATCAACCATCCGTCCTTAGAATATTAGTGCCACAAGAGAAGAGAGAAAATTACCGTGCTGATACATATTCATTTATTCCGAGTACTTTCGACATTAGATCAATGTCATCATCAGTGTGATTTTTTTACTAAGACAAAAATTGCTGTGTTCTTCATTTTTCTAAGACAAATCTGTGGTGTTCCTCTGAAAGTTAATTTTTTACCTGTGCGGTGAAAAACGCTAAGGCTATGTACTGTACGATTTAAATTCCATGATGTAAACGTCAGGGGAGGTAACTAAGTTATGAATATGTCCAAATGTTTTTGTTTTTTTAAAAAAAAATGACGAACACAACATTTTTGCCTGAGGAAAAACAACACTCTGCTGATGACATTGTGCTAATGTCGAAAGTACTCGGAATAAAGGAACATATATCAATATGGTAACTTTCACTCTTCCTTTAATAAGAAGAGACCTGACGATTGCGTCTAGCATGAAACAGTCGCCTCTGAGTGTTGACTTCAATGTTCACTTTTTATATATATATATATATATATATATGTGTGTGTGTGTGTGTGTGTGTGTGTGTGTGTGTGAGTATCCAATCACTTTTTTTCTCATTTATTGCCCTAGAAATTTCGACTGTCTCTTCCAAATGTTAAGTATAAGTTTCCTTTTTGTTTCAATTTTCTCTAAATTCTTGCCGTTGCTCCCATGTTCGTCCCATGGTATCTTCATCATCCTTCTGTAGAGCTATATTTCTGTTGCTTCAAATCTTTTAAAAAGGAATAACCAGAAAAAAAAATGACAATTTATTTTGATTCATTCATTCTTGATAACAATCTTGATAATAACCTCGATAATAATCTTAATAATAATCATTACATTTTTGCTATCAATTTTTAATTAGTGAATATTTATTCCAATTTATTTTACAACGTCATTTTAATGAAAGAGACAGAGATTTTTTTTTAAAAAAAAAAAAGATCATATTCATAAAACAATTTGTTTGTTCAAAAACCGAGGATGATTGTGAGCCAGGCGACTGGTGTGCAACTATCTGCTATTATTGAGGAGAAAAAAAAAATAAAAAGATATTGAATAAAATTTCATGGGTAGACTTTAGAAATATATGGTTGAAGAAGACTTTAGAAAGAACCGGAAACACAATCCTAAACAGGAAACAAGGGATAAACCTCTATTCCTGTTTAAAAGACAAGGAAGGAGTGTGAATAGGGCGATAGGCGAACTCCTCTACTTAAGGAAAAAATAGTCAATAGTATATTGATTCATTTTATATTGTTTGTTCCTCATGAAAGAAAACTATGAAGATAGATAAAAAGAAAAGAGACAAGGACAGTGAAAAAAAGAGGAAGTAGTAGAGAGAAGAGGGAGAAGAGAAAATCAAAAGTTAAAAAGAATTGATAGAGAAGATAGAAAGAAAGACAGATAAGCAGAAAGAAAAAATAGAGGAGAGTGAGAAGAGAGAGAAGAGAGGGGGTGCGTGAAAGAGAGAGAAAGAGAGAAAAGAGGAGAACAGAGCTATAGAAGGGAGATGTTTTTAAAAATCAATTCACGCCAAGTGAGGCGATAAAGCCACTAAGACGCAAAGGGGGGGGGCTACTGGGAGTGAAAGAGAATGAGAATATTTTAGAAGGAAACGGAAATACAATTCTAAACAGGAAACCAGAGATAAAACTCTGCTCCTGTTCAAAAGACCAAGAAGTACGAACCAATTTACGCAAATGAGGAAAAATAGTAAATAAAACTTCAGGGTTTAAATGCAGAGTTTACAAGTATAGAGTTGAAGAAGCGGTTTAAAAAGAACCGAAAACACAATGCTAAACAAGAAACAAGGGATAAAGCTTTACTCCTGTTCAAAAGAAAAGGCAGGAGTGTGAACCGGGCGATAGACGAATCGATCTGCCATAAAATATAAAAGAGTGAATAGTGGAAAAATATGTAATAGTATCAGCTGACCATTGAAACAAATTCTCGAGTTGCATTACGTGGCTGTAATTCTATATCGGGATATTCCAGGAAGGAAGACCCGTGGTCAGCTGACTATTTCAATCGATTTGCCATTCATTGGTTATTCATGCTCCCAGAGCGCATTACACTAAACGTACTTTCCGCAATGATGAGTATGAACACGACAACCCACTGGATTGGGTTGGTCAATAATTGGCGGCTGTGGATTCGACAGAAAATGGGACGTTCATGATGACAGCCTACTTTCAAAGGCTGTCTCCCACACTCATCGCTATATCAATCAGACGCCGGCATTCACTCTTTTGGGGACCCAATTGATGGATAGATAGGAATATCCTGACACAGTTACTTTTAGTTTTTGTCTACAATTATATTGAATAACCATCTACATTTGTAAAACCAAAATCCATATATATATATATATATATATATATATATATATATATATATATATATATACGAGTTGATGTTGTTTAACTTTGCTGATTTTACGGGAACCGCTGTTTCAACGTGATTTGTCCGTATGTCAAAGTCCGCTCAGCATGTTGAATAAGTACAAATGTGGCTGAGGTTGCGTCTGCAAATCAAGAACTGGCTAACTGAACTATGAGACAATATTATATATATATATATATATATATATATATATATATATAGAGAGAGAGAGAGAGAGATATATATATATATATATATACATATATATATATATATATATATATATATATATATGTATGTGTGTGTGTGTATATATATATATATATATATATATATATATATATATATAGCAAATGTAAAAAATCTTACATTTGCCGACGCGTTTCGTCTTCTACTTTTAAAAGGCAAAATGAAAAAAGATAGTTTTTGTTTAAATTAGTTTGATTTTTTAAAATTATAAATTTAAAAACTCTTGATTTAGATTTTTTTTTTTTGTAAAAAACAAGAAGGCGAAACGCGTCGGCAAATGTAAGATTTTTACACTTTGCCATATATATATATATATATATATATATATATATATATATATATATATATATATATATATATATACACAAAATATACGTCGGCAAAATGTAAGATTTTTTCCACTTGTCATTTGATGCCAATCTGTCTTGTCCACAGAATTCATCTGAAGAATTTATATATATATATATATATATATATATATATATATATATATATATATATATATATATATATTTCCGTGTATGAAAACGATCTTTGATTCAAAATATCTCCCTTAAAAATTATGGGTTGTCTTATACTACAATAAAAAAAACCCTTAAATTCTGAGTAATGTTTGTCAGTAGGCTAACCTCGGCCTTGGTGCAAAAATAAATAACGTATATGAGAAGTTTCACATTATCAATTAAACTGATAATAAAACCATTCCTACCTGATATATTACTGGCATTACTTCCTAATAAATTGCCTATTTGAAGAATAATCCAATGAAA